AATAAATAAAAATCATTCAGCTGATTTTTATTGAGCATCTATCAGACACTCAGCACATTCCAGGTGCTGGGAAAGAAATGGTGAACAAGGCAGACAGAGTCCCTGCCCTCTTTCTAGTGAGGTACTCAGACAATAAAGTAGTCAAATTAGTATGTATTTCAGGTAGTGCTGAGTCCCGTGAAGACAAATAGAGACAGGGAATGGTGAGGAAGGATGCCTATTTTAGACAGGGTGGTTGGGAATGCACTGTTTGAGGAGCTATTTGAATAAAGCTCTGACTGAAGTGAAGGAGCTGGTCCTGAGAAGACCGGGCTGGTGAGCATTCCAGGTGGAGGGAGGCGAGGCCAGAGCAGAGCCCTGCAGGCAAAATGCGATGGGCAAGCAGTAAGGCCCACAGCGGGAGGATACGGGGAGTGGGTGAGGTCAGAGCATTAGGCAGGAGACAGATCATGTTGAGAAGCTTGACTTTTGTTGTAAGTGTGATGGAAAAACACTGGTGGGTTTTGAACAGGAAAGAATGGTGATCTTTGTGTTTCAAAAAGTCACTCTGCTGTACTGAGATTGGAAGGGCCAAGAGTGGAAGCAAGGCATCTCCTAGAGGTGGTTGCATTACAGGAAGGGGAGAGAAGCAATGGATTGGAAATGTGGAAGTGGCTGCCTATCAAAAGTGAAGGATGATGTTATTTGCCAAATTGGCTAATCGTTTGAACTCAGGTCTCTTCACATGTTGTGGTGCTTTGCACACAGTAGATTTTCAACGAATGCTCACAAATCATCCACGTAAAATGATGTACCTGTGCTGCTATAGAAAGCTAATCCACTGGATGCACTGAATTCTTCAATGAAGAACTGAGAAAGGGAAATATGCTCTTCAGTATTTAAGGACTTGTTTCCATGTTTCCAGTATAGCATTAGGTCCTCGTCATTGTAGGCATCTAAAACAAGAAAGTAACAGTCTTGTAATTGGAATAAGTCCTTGTAAGTTCCATGAGATCTATAATCATGTTCTATTCAGCTCTGTAGCCCCAGTGCCTACATGTCATATTATACTGACATATATAATATGTATTAAGTGCTGAAAAATATGTTTGCTGATAGACTGATCATACCCACATCTTCAAAAAAGAGAAAAAAAGTCTCCAACATGAGACCCTTATGATTGGTATAGTGTGGATCTTTTATTGTGCCCACACAATAAGTTAAAACTCTCCAAATAGCTGCTTCCATATCTTTGTTCATTCTCTTAAAATATTAAGCCAGGCCTCGGAGTGACACCATAGCATGGCCTCACTGTCACATGGCTTTAGTTTTCCTTAGTTTTGTGGTTTTACTGGATGAAATTCCAAAATGGGCCTAGCTCATTAAGAATTTTCTTTCTAAAGCCAAATAGTGGTATAGTAAGTTTCTAATGGATTTGGGGAGGGGTGTCTGTGGAGTAGACATCTACTGAGATTCCCAGCATTTTAGACACATTATGAAAAATTGCAGTTAGCTTTTAAGATGTTATATCAAAAGGAGCTGATGGTTCAACATGATTGACAGGGAGCCAACTTGGCTGCCCTGTGAAGGGCTTTGATTAGGCGGTCTATGTCTAGAGCTGGGTTTTTCTGGGGAATCCAAGTATATTTAACGGAGGATTGTGATTCATCTGGGAACATGAATTCTGGAGCTTTCCAAATGTGAAAAGTCTGTGTCAATCTACGTAATAACATTAGCAAGAATGTACCTTTTTAGGGAACTCTTTCTTTATAACCACTGTGGAAACTACAGACTATGTAATTATCAAAACATTTTTTCCCCTTGAATCTTCTCATTTGAGAGACAAACTGGCATCATCTTTAGTAAAGAACAAAAAACCCACAACCATTTTGCTTTTGGATAATGTGTCAAGATTTTAAGGCTTGTTAAGAGCATGCTTATTTGCACACAAGTATGTGATGTTGTGTTCAAATGATGTATACTCACTCCATCGGAAGTAAGACTTACAGCTTTCCAGTTCAAGAGAACAATTTTGCCTGTCAAGAGGAAACCTGCTGAAATCCATAAAGCACATGGCCGAAACCGTTACCCTATAAAAAGAATGAGACAAAGAACCCTGCAGATCATTTAACCATCTGGCCAAATAAGCATGCAACATTGAAGCTTTCTTACTGTTTGCCTGTTCTGTGTGCCTTTCAAGAATAATGCAAAGCAGGCATTACTACCTTTTGTTCAAATAACCTACAAGGAAGCAAACCCAAGAAGGTGAGTGATTTGCTTAAGACACAGAGTTAATGAGTAAATCCCAGCTCTCATAATTGCTTCTGATCTCACTATTTCTCGGTCAGCCCTCTGTGCATTTTCTGGCTCTGATGTTTCCAGAAAAACACACTTCAAAGTGAGAAGACTCTTAAATAGATTTAAATACTTTCTGCTTTTTGGAAGATTAGTCTCTAGTAATAAAGGGCTGGGATGGTTATAAAAACCTGTAGGTAAAGGTTTCCTTCACAAAGTAAGTTTACCTGAGGAAATTCTCTTTCCAGCAGTGAGGGAAAAGCCCGTAGCATTTTCAGTAATAGATCTATGTACACAATGCATAATTCAGGTGCTATTAAGTCAATAGGCTTGCATACGGATGAGGATTGTTTTTTCAAATTTTATATCCTCCTGGATTTTCCTGGCTTCAGGCAGAGGCTGTTATACTATGATCTTGCCTCAAAGCAGAAACTTTGGTACCCACGATAGCAGATCAGAGGTTCATAAAAGGTCCCTGAGCAGGTCTACAAAAAACAAAGGCAACAGATGCTCCTACCCACGGTGCCCTTGAGTTAATCAGAGGAGTAGAACCATTTTATCTTTTATGGGATGAATTCTACTGCCAAAAGTTATGCAACAAAATGCCAAGCCAGGGAAGTATCTGGATGACTTTGTGCCACAAAACACATTCATTTTGATGTATTCCTAGTACTTTAAAGCTGCAAGGGATCACTGAGGACTTTCAGTCCACTTCCTTTATTGTACACATGGGGAAATTAATGGCCAAGGTGTTTAGGTGGCTAGAACCAAGCCTGGAACCAGGTGACCTCATGCTGGATTTGGACTGGCTCTGCTGTTGGCCGGAAAATCTTGTGCTGGCAACAATTTTGAGTTCCTCTTGCATTTCAGCATCTCTGAGACCACCCTCAGGGTCCATAATTCTCAGAAAGACACACAGAACTCAGCAAGGCTATTATACTCATGGCTACCTTTATTAAAATGCAAGGATACAGATTAAAATCAACAATGTAAAAGGAGGACAGGGGAGACTCCAGGAGAGGCCAGGAATAAATTTCCAGTCATCCTCTCCTACTAGAATTATATGGACAGTGCTTAATTCTTGTTACTGAAAACTTGGCACTTGTCCTCGAGGCCACATCAGGAGAACAAGAACAAGTGGTTTGAGCAGAAGGAAAGAGAAGTTTATTACTTTGCCAGCAAAGGAGGAAAATGGCAGACTCTATCTTCTCAAAATCCAAATTCCTGTCCACAAGCAGAAATACAGGGCTTTTAAAGCCTCAGTTCTAGGCTATTGTCCTTACCGATTCTAATTGTCTCATCTCTGCCAAAGACAAAGCCTGTGACCTCTGCCCACTTGGGAGGCCCACCCAGACCTCTGCAGGCCAGCCACTGGGCCTGGGATGGTGCCAACAGTTCAGCTGAGCCATCTTCTATAACACAAAGAACAAAAGATATTCCTCTACTCCTCCTGACCACCTGCCTGAGACAGGAATGCAGCCCTCAGTTCCCAAAAAGAGTGGGAAAGTTTTAAAGAGACAGAAAACAGCTTTTTACTGTTTTCTTTTCCCCCAGGCCATTCCCTCTGTTACATATTCTCCGCTCTCAATTTTACGCTTCCATATCTATGGGAGGAAGGGCGACTACTCTGTTACATTCTCTCAGCAATGATATATGACAACATCCACAGAGATTACCAACCAGGGAGGCTCACTCAAGCCTTGCGGGCCAAAAGTTTAAATAAAAAGCCTCAAGGAAGAAAGGCCGAACAACCAACAGAACGAACCTAAGCCCCAACCCCCCCCCCCAAAAGGCAAACCGAAAACCAACTGGCCTTGAGGCCTCCACCACAAATCACAATGTTAGCATAGACTATCTGGCATGGCTCAAGGCCCCCAGGTAAACAAAGACACTCTTATCAGGCTGGACATTCCTAGGGGTTGGAGGTTACCTCCCAGGAGACAGCAAAGGACCAAATCTTTCTTTGGAATGTACAGAGTAAGGAATCAATACTTTACTGGACTTTGCCTCACCAAAATCAATTTAAAACAGTTGATTCTTTGGCCAGACATTGCCATTTTGCTTCTGATTCCAAGTAAGGCTTGACTCCAGTACTTAGGAGTCCCATGTTACTACTGATTTAAAAGTCCTATTGAAAATAGCACTTGTCTTTAATTGCATTTTTTAAAACATTGATAGTCTTTATGAAATGGCTGGCAACAACTCCTTTGTACTAAAATTACCTTTATTACAATTCTATTTTCAATAAGAAAAAAGAAACTGTATTAGTTTCCTATTGCCGCTGTAACAAACTACCACAAACTTGGTGGTTTCAAACAACAGAAATTTATTCTCTCACAGGTCTGAAGGCCAGAGTCTGAAATCTATCACTGGGCTAAAATCAAAGTGTCAGAAAGGCCTGTCTCCCTAAGAGGCCTTAGGGAAAAATATCTATTCATTTTACAGCTCTGGTCACCACAAGCATTCCTTGGCTTGTGGTCACATTGCCTTCTCCTCTTCTGTGTGTATCAAATTTTCCTCTACGTTTCTATTATAAGGATGCTTATTATTGCATGTACATCCCAATCAGATAATCCATGATAATCTCTCCATCTCAAGATCCTTAACTTAATCACATCTGCAAGTATCCTTTTTGTCATATAAGGTAATCTTCACAGGTTTCAAGGATTAGGACATGGCTGTCTTTTGGGGGATCATATTTTTTCAGCCTACTTTATCATCTTTCTGAGATTTCTAGGACATTAAAACAAGTTGAATTGCTTGGACTTACCAAACATTTTTAGAATTATCTATGATAAACCACTCATTATGCAGAGGTCTCATCAGGCTAAAAGAAAATATGGAACATCAAAGACGGAGGGCTGTTATAGCATAGTGTTAGAACATGTTTTAAATAAACTAAATAGAAAGAAGAAGTGAGTAAATAGTGGTAACATGGATGATGACTATGCCTTCCCATGGATAATGAAGGAGATGGTTAAGACAATTATTTATCTAATCCAAGATTCCAAAACTACTTGGTGGGGTGCAGGGTGGGGTTGAACTGGTGAGGAGGAAAAGCAGACTTTTAAGCATTTCTGTAATTCAACTCCATTCTGTCCAACCAACATATACTCAGAGTGGGTAGAGTTAGAATAGGAAACCATTCTTTGAAATCTGAATGTTAGAACCAGGAAAAATCACATCTTCTGTTTGTGAAACAGACAGTAATGTGATTTTAGTCTTAAGTGACACCCATCAGCTTTGGTGTAGAAGGCTGTGGTCTGAGGAAGCCAAAGGCCACAGATAGCTCTCCTCACCTGAGACTGAAGAGGATGTTTCCATCAGGGTACACACGTAGCATGATGTTCTCCACAGTTGTATCATGAATGAAGGATCTTTTAGAATGGACAAAAAAGATATCAGGCACCCAGATCTTTTTGATCAATCTATGATCAAATGTCATGCTTTTGTTTGTTGTGCTAGGAAAGGAGAGCCTCTCATCTTTCCAGTAATGCCTGAGATAAAAAGTCATCGTAAAGTCCTAGACAGAGAAAAAAAGAGACCAGTTAAAACCAGAAGGAATATGGTTCAAGATGACCACTTCAACACTATTAGTCCCAGGACTGATTTCCAAGGGAGCTAATGACTTATAAGTGAATGGCTCATATTACATTTTCAGGTACATTTAGGAGGAAGCTAATAAGCTTAAGTTTGGGGCTTTTCCTTCATATGGGCTCTGGTGAATGTTGACAGTTTCTGTGAGTTATGGAGCATTCAAATTGGGGAAGGGAAGCCAGATCATAAATGAGAAGCATTTCTATGTAAGCACTCTGAGTAATCACTTAAAGAGATCTCAGAAGAAAAGCACCCAAAACTCCACTCTTTTATTATCCATTATTTTATGGTGATTTTTTCCTAATTCTAAATAAATATTTCCCTTTAAAATTGATTTTGTATTGATAATTTTGT